CCGATCTATACCTTCGGTTCTAGCCTTTATAGGCGGTTTCTTTTAGCGTAGGTATTACGCGTTTTTATAAAGGCTTTATAGTTGTATACTCGTAGGTATATAAGGTTAGGACGGGAGGGTACATACTCTACTACGCGTAATTAAGCGCACCTACACACACACTACCTATAATCGAACCCTGGAGCCTAGGGAACTCCGGGGAGCACATACCACTACTTAAGGACCAGTCCCGGACTAATAATTCTGCTTCGTATATTCTTTACTTTTCTATACAAGTTATATAAATAACTAGATACTCGTTATAGGCTTAGTCTCCTTAATTGACTCGTGTCATAGCTTTAGGGCTGTATGTATATATTGAATCAAAAAAAATAAGGTTAGGTTCACGGCCGCGTAGGCCTTCGGATAGCGTTTTCTACTTGTTAATATAGCGAGGGGTTCTATTATATAAGTAAATAGCCGTCTTGAAGAGCTCGGGCTAGATACATATAGGCAGATTAGCTCTAATCCTTATAGCCCTCACCTTCCTTTTAACAATACCTTTAATCCGTTCTGCGACGCCGTTTTAATCCTGTGAATATAGTGCCGACGGCTAGCCTTCTACCCCTTTCGCAGCGATGAAAGTAATAACTTCTAGGTACTAAAATATTTCGGAATCGGCTAGTAGGATACGTGGCCTAATATTGAATTAGGTCTTAGGCAGGGTAAAAACGTCTTTTAACGTATAAAGAATAAAACCTTAATCTCTTTTCTATAGATAGTAATCCTATATATAGCCTATCAACATATCTATAACGAATCTAATAGACTTATATAGGCCGCCTAATAATTCCGACTCTTTTAGATCATAAATATTAATAGCTAAGGTTTCGCCGGGGTGTAACGGGTAAAGGGATAGTATCCTCCTAATCTTTAAAGATACTTACGATTACCCGTACGTGCTATACTCTACGGTATATAGCCCCTTAATCCTTACCCCCTAGATAGTATTAACGATCTTTACGAGGGTATCTATACCATAATATCCGAGGTTTTTGTGTTATCTTTACGCTATAGTCTTCTACAGTTTCCGTGGTTATCGCGATCTTTTATACGGATTATCGTGTGGGTCCTAAGCCGAAACCGTAAACGTGGTAGCGGTAGCCGTGGCTTCTGCACGCTTGATTCTATACTAGCCATAGATATCTAGTAGCTTATGGATAGGCCGGTTATCGGTAGTAGTAGTAATACTATTGTTTATAGTATCCTAGCGATAGCCCTATAGGCGTAGCTGGCATTCCGAGATAATATTAGTAATAAACTCCTTATAGTATACGGTATCGTGTAGGTATAATAGCCTCCTTATACCGGATAGAGATTGTATACATAGCTTGACGTCTCTGTACCTGAGGATAGGAGCCTTATAGATGCCCACTTAGAGGGATGAAGATAAAGTATTAGTGAGTAGTCTAATAGTCGTAAAACGGCCTTAATTATTAAAGATATGGATTAATGATCCTAAGTCTAGGATCGTGTAATATAGTAATGCTTTAGCTTGGTTAATAGAGAGGGATACTCCTTATTATAATCTTAATAGTGTTATCGTACAAGAGCGCGCTATACCTCCTATGGGGTGGAAGCCTAGTATTACGGCTGGCTGGAAAACCCGCTGATTTTATTACGTAGTAAGTGTAGTAGTTATATTATTCAGTTAATCCTTCTGGACCTCCTATATCTTGCTAGCGGTGATAGACCCTAAGGCTTCTCGTCTTTTCTGTATCGCGGTGTCCACGCGGCTCTTGAAATATAGGTTATATACTTTTATTTCTGTAATCTTTATAATATATTTATAATTACTCTAACTATAAGGGCGTATATCCGGCCTTACGTATTAGTAGGCGGGGGTGGAATAGGGGTTTTTATAGATCTTATAGGGCCTCCTGGTTATAGAAGGGATAGCCTTTACGGACGTGTTACTACGAGAGCGCTTCTTGTTAGCGTCTTTATTATTAGTAGTAGTAGTAGTATCCTTAGTATCGGGGAGGTTCCTAAGGGTATTAAAAGTGCCTTTCCCGACTCTAGGCTTTATAGCAGTGGCGGATTAGAGGCTTTTTATATTATTAAGAACCGCCCTTAGAGCCTTTACGAAGTCATTATTTGTTAGCTCGTTTTCCGTAATCTTATCATAGTTATTTACTAGGTAGTTATTACTCTATTCCTAAGTAATAGATCTAATAGCTTTTAACGCGTCTTCCGCCTAACGGTCTACGCTTAATAACTCTAAAACGCCTATATTTATAGTGTATTATCGCTGTTTTCTAGTTTATAATCTACGTGTCTATATCCTTAGGTGTCGTCTTTATAGGCGACGTATAGCGATAGTATAAGATTAGAGCTTTTTTACAGAGATTATTAGAGGTTAGTCCTGCTTACACGTAGAGGAGGGTAATCTAAGCTTATAGGTTATTTGCTTTATTATTCTATAGCTACGCGAGTAGGTTATATAGCATAGTGTAGATAGTTGCTATAATATACTAGCGTACCTTATTCAACTCCTTTTACTATGCTTTATAGTCGGCCTCTTCCTCGCGGTATACGCGGCGATCTTATAGATAGCGTGTGCGTCCCTTTTCGGAGAGGTTATCGGTAGACGTAGGGATAATCTTAATCAGTGGTTCTGTCAGATACCACCACACACTTACCGGGGTGTGACTTACGCCATTTTCCACATGGATAGAGTACTCCCGACCGATATATCTATCTCGATTTCCCCTCCTTTTACCTTATAGTTAGATATTCCCGCAGAGTACCTTTTATTAACCTATAACCTAAGCTTAGTATATAATAGAGTACTAAAGCTATACTATAACTATATAATATATATGCTTAGTAATACACCTACTCGAGAACTTACTTATTCGGCGACCTAAACAGGAACCTACTTATTCGACGACCTAAAACGTCTAGTTAGCCTTAGTAAGCCTATAGGGGCACTAGAACCTATAAGGACTCCTCGATTAACATCATTATATGACTAAAGTTAGGAATCTGATTTACCTAGTAACTAATATTTTCTCCTTAAATAGCGCGATCTAGGTACTTAGAGTATAATTAACTACGCCTTCTAGGTGCTTATTATCTTATTAGAAGGCCTTAAGTTATTTGTTAAATTCCCTTTCCGAAGAGCTATTAACTAGGGAGTTCTAATCCGTAAGGAAGGTATAGAACTTAGGATACCGTTTAATCTAGCTAGATGTTATTTTTAACAGCTTAGAGAAAAAGCACTTAGTCTTAGCTAGTATGTTTATATTAATGTGCTATCTATATAGAATAGTAGGAATCCTATCTAAGACCTTCTGGATTGTTAGGACATTAATTAAGGCTAGCTCCTAATCTGTAATAATATAACGTGCTATAGGGTAATTAAAGGTCCTAAGAAAAGTCCCGAAAGCCCTTAACACCTAGATATAGTATCCCTCGTTCTCCTTATTTAAGAAGACCGCGGTAATCTAGAATACCTTCTGTAGAGACGATATACCGTAGATACTTAGAAGAGGTATATTAAACCGGTTAGTTTTATAGGTATAATCGAAAAGCAGTATATTAGACGACTACTAAAAGAGGGGGATAACTGATTTCGGAGTAAGGAAAAGGTTTTAGATCTGGCTAAAGTTATCGCGTAGGTCCCTATAGAAATATTCTATAGTACTACTAATTTGCTAATAAGTTAGCAGGGAAATAATATAGATAGAAGTATTATTTGCCTTATAAAGCTATTAAAGTGACGTGCGGCTAGTAAGCTCCCTCTGGCGATAGGTACTAAGGATATTTATTATATCTTAATATATAATTCAAATTAGTGGCGCGGGGATAGTTCTACTATTACTTCGAATACTTTCCGGGTTATAAAGTTAAGTCACGATATAATAAGGCCGCGAACCGCTATTCTATATAATAATAATCTTATCCTCGCATGTAGTAAGTTAGGTTGTTCGGAAGGAAGAGAAAGTAACTACCTAGATAAACTAGATAAACTTATAGTTATAGGTATCGGTATAAGCGCCTCTAATAACCTACCGATTATCGCGAAGCTTAACGCTTATTCGGAAGTGGTAATTCGTTATCTATGAGGTAGTTCGGCGCCTCTTAGATTTATAAGTCTCCGAAGGAGTTGTTAATAATACAGCGGCTTAACCTTTCCCGTATCGATACATTACCGATATAGGATTACGGGCGTTTAAATAGCTTTTATAGATAGTAAGACTATAACTATTAGAGAAGGCGTGGGTTTATAGAGCGCTATTAGCTTAATCAAGAGTATCGAAGCTCGTAATAGGCGGCCCTAGACTATAGGGTTAATTTATAGGCTTTTAATCTATAGTTATTTATAAGGATTAAGAAAGGTAGGTTAGTAGGTAAGGTAGGTAAGTAAGGTAGGTAAGATAGGTAGGTAGATAGATACGGTAACGTAACTACCCTTAATTAACGATTATTATTATATCTCTGTATTTATACCGCCTCGGGATTTATATATATTTATAGTGATATATTAGAGTAAGGGAGTATAGTAGATCTTAGCCCACTCTTTTAGGTGCTAGGTATCTAAACTATAGGTGCTATTTAATCCTACCCTTATATAACCTGCAGGACCGTCAGGGAACTACTACTACTATAATATCTATAGTGAAAATTCTGCCGATATCTACCTCGATTGCCGAGGTTACCGTGCTCGGGGAAATCCGTGTCCGTTCCTTAACCGTAAAAAGTACGATCTATTCAATAGAAGAAGGCGTAAAAAGGGCCCCGCACTTACTAATACTGCACAATATGAAGCCCGTACGGATACTCCGTAAATACTCGGGTTCCAGCAAAATCTTCACCGAAAGCCAACACGAGTCCTTAAGAATACCTGGATCATTACGTCCCACTGCACCGTAGAACGCCGTCGAAGAGCGTTAATCTCATTGTCCCGCCATACCCAGCGATCTTAGGCCAACAGATCCATACCACCAACCAACAACATGTCTTCCCCAGAAGCTCGTACCGGAGTTAAGCGGCCTCGTAAGTCCTGGATTTACATTTCTTATGTGGGACCGTTTGGGATGTGAGAACGGCACTTTCCCCGAGGTGTTTTGGTCTTCAGATGCTCCGCCTGAAGACCCGTCTCAGCTCATGCTCGACAGACATCTCTGTTCTGCACTTGCTTTCCCTGGCTTCATTCTCAGGGATAGCAAAGCCGAATTTCCTTACTCTCCGCTGAGCTCCAACGCTCTTTACTTGCTATTGCTAACAACCTTGGACGTGATTCACAGGCACCCAGTCGCTTCCACCTCCTTCTCTCCCCCAGCTCGTGGCCGAACAACACACCCCCATTCCCGCCACAGACAAGGATACCAAGAGACTCATCGTCGTTCTCTCGAATGCCAGCCTCGAAACCTACAAGGCTTCTCATGGCGGGGCTAGTCGGAACGACATGCACCGGGAAGAAAAATACTCGCTTCTGAACAGTGATGAACATATTGGCGTGATGCGCAAAATGAATCGTGATATCAGTGATGCCCGCCCTGATATTACGCACCAGGTCCGGACCAATTCGCTAGCTTCTGCGATGCGGCACGCTCAACCGTGTCGCTGACCAGTGTCCCTGCTGTCTGCATTCAACATGCTGACATGACCAGTGTCTCCTCACTCTCCTCGACTCCCCTATCAACAAGGCCGGAAGGCTCCAGATTTACATCCACACGGCCAAGGGCGTCTTGATCGAGGTCTCGCCGACCGTTCGCATCCCTCGTACATTTAAGCGCTTTGCGGGCCTCATGGTCCAGCTGCTGCATCGGCTATCCATCCGCTCGACCAACTCACAGGAGAAGCTGTTGCGGGTCATCCAGAACCCCATCACCGATCATTTACCACCTAACTGTCGGAAGGTCACACTCAGCTTTGACGCCCCGCTCGTCAAGGTGCGGGACTACGTCGACACCCTGGGACCTAAGGAGAGCATTTGTGTCTTCGTAGGTGCCATGGCTAAGGGAGCTGACACATTTGCGGATGGCATCGTCGACGAGAAGATTTCCATCAGCAACTTCAGCCTGTCTGCTAGTGTTGCTTGTAGTAAATTCTGCCACGCTGCCGAGGATAGCTGGGACATCCTCTAAAAAGGCTGTCTCTTAGCGGCCAGTCCGGGATTGGGTAGGTATATTCATGGGGATGGTTTAGGCGACATTCGCGCTGTCTGGAAAGGGGGAATGCGGTGTGACGAGACCAAAATTGCCTTCACCCCGTTGGAACTATTCATTGGTGTTTACGGGGGCGGGACTGCGGCTAATCTTTGAGGTGGAGTTTCTGCCCTGGGTAATATATTCGTCCCTTCGTCCCTTCGTCCCTCCGCGCCCTTTGCACGAAGATAGCAAGGTACACAAGCCGCCAAGAGATCCAGTTCCCGAGGCCGATCAGGCCGATGGACATCTTTCGCGATAGGTACCCATTTTCCCGTGACACAACGTGTCGTTTCAGTTGTACTTCACACCCTTATACCTAATAAGCAGATCATAAATCATCCCTAAGAAGTTCTCTTTCCCATTTGGTCATCAGCGAATTCGACTTCGGGGCGACAAAAGTGAGTGGCTCGCGCTCATCCTCCAGCAGGTTTCCTTCATAGGTACTTGATACGCACTTGCAGCTACTGCGTACTTCACACATCTCATGTATACCTTAATCACGCTTGTGATATGTGACATGGTAACCATCTGTATTCGTACCTTACCCTTACTGAAATGTATCAGCCCCTTGGATCCGCTGACCTCTCTTATTCGCACCAACGTCAGCAACGTGGCAGAATGTGGACCAAGCCTTCCCAATAAGGCGCAGAAAGCAAAGACGTCTCGTTTCGCGGAACGGCTCTCTCCATCTGCCATGATACCCAAGGGCCAAAGAGCGAAGTGCGTAACTCGTTATTGACTACCCACGTAGCAGCATGGGTACTAATCGACTCAGTTCCTTAACCCTGGGCAATGGAGCCGCCGATAGGAAACCACTTGGCAAATGGCTCTCGAGGATGGAGTCGAGAACCAAGCAACATTAGCCCTGTCGTTCAGTCGCGCGTGGCCAGACTTCCTGTATACACTTTCACTCCACTTGAATATCCAATATAAAATCTGCCTCTGGAGGCCGGACCAAGGTTAGTGAAATCGTGTCGACAGCCCGCTAGTAGCAGTGCCCAAGTACACCCAAAGCCATAACCACCCGCTTCATAATCGTCGATCGAGCACAGCTTGCCACGCGTGGCCGCAGTGAAAGCGTGAGCTGTCTCGAGAAAGTCCCGATAGTGACGACAAGACCACTCGGAACTCGCCCGAGCTCTGTCCCCTCGAGCAAGCCCGTCCAATCCGTTGGAGGAGAGGCGTATTGGGCACCATTTTCCATTTTGTTTTGCCCACTTTTCCATACACTGAACTCATCGACAGCTTTCAATGGTCGCCTTCTTCGAGGTATCACACCTGCCCTCGTCGGTTTCATTCTACTCGGCTGTGTTTCAGCCCCTGGGTCTCTTTTATATATCTACAGAGGGTACGGGTTCCCCCAACACACAACACTCGGCAAAAGGCCGTGCAATTCAGTCGCAACCCACCATCACATACGGCACGTCCGCGCCCTCCAAGGCTGTTTTCCAGATTCGTGAGGTCCCGACCCCGAAACGCTCCCACGCCACGCTATCAGCGTCATCCAGCCAGGCCGTCGCCGACTTCGAGGCCTTTGCCATTCGCGCACACCCAGCCAGCATCAAGCTGCCGCACCAATTCCCTGAGGTGATTTCAACTTTCGGCGGCAGTGATTCAGATCGCACCCGTATCCGGGATCTTGACGGCAACATCATGGACGTCGTGCATCTCCCCTCCTCTCACCAGTCCGTGCGGTACGGTGATGGTGCGAGTAATTCCGGAATTCCAACGACGGAGTCGCATCGAGACGATGCTAGCCGTATCCTCGACTGGAATTACGACGTTGCCCTTTCAGAGCACCACCATGATCCTGCGCGCAGCGCCACGGGTGGACCGACCTCGACCTGGGCTAAGCAACCAGGCCCCGTCCCTGACAAAGAATACACCGTACTTCGCCGCAGTGTCACAACGTCGATCCTCGAGCAACCCCATCGCGAGAACGGTGATAGTGGCCTGAGCTCCACCACCATCGTCGGAGCTTTACTGGGCGCCGCTGCCGGTGCCGCTGCTGGAGCTGCCCTCACATACAGCTTGGTGAAAGCCGAGCGTGAGCGGGCTCCTCGACAGGAGCAGGAAGTAATGTCGGTGCAACGCCGGGCTACATTTCCTGATGGCATGAGCATGACGGCCCCGGCGGATGGGCGATATGTTGAGGTCGAGAGAACCGTCGAAAGAATTCGGTACCCGGAGTCGTACGCTCCCCTAGCAGACCACCAGCAGCCTTCTCGTCAGCTCCCCCAATACACCCCGGCTGATAATGCACTCACCTCCGGCACGGCCAATGACTACTGTTATGAAGATCCACACGGCCATCAGTCGTGGCAAGTGAATGCAACGGGGACTGGTAGCGTCTACAGCGGCATGGACGGCCTCCAGTCAGCTGGAGCACCCCTTATGATCATGGATGCTGAGCAGCATAGCACCATAGGCTCGTCACGCCACAGCACAGTACGACAACCATCCGTACACGGCACTGTGTATGAGACCGACCGAGAGTCGTTTGTTTCGGCTCAGAGCAAACGATCTGTGTCGACGATCCGCGGTCCGCCTCCGCCAACAGTCGAGACTGAGTTGAGCATGAGGAGTAGGGCTCCTAGCATGGCTCCCAGCAGGGCTCCCAGCATGGCCCCCAGCATGGCCCCCAGCAGGGCTCCCAGTATGGCCCCCAGCAGGGCTCCCAGCATGGCCCCCAGCAGGGCTCCCAGTATGGCCCCCAGCAGGGCTCCCAGCATGGCTCCCAGCAGGGTTCCCAGTATGGCCCCCAGCAGGACCCCCAGCAGGGTTCCCAGTATGGCCCCCAGCAGGACCCCCAGCAGGGTTCCCAGCATGGCCCCTAGCAGGGCTCCAAGCAAGGCTCCCAGCAGGGTTCCCAGCAGGGCTCCTAGTATGGCCCCCAGTGCCGCAGCACATAGCAATCGAGAGCCAACTGTCGTCATGTTCTCAGGCAGCACCCCCAGCCAGGTCTCTGCGAGAAACCTTGGACTGCCGACAAGCGGAATAGGCAGTAGTCATGCCGATTGGGAGGACGTTATTAGCCTCGCTCCGAGCGATAGCATCAGCTGTATTGGTAGCAGGGCAAGCCGACGTCCATAGATAGCAGGACAGGGGCTGTTATCTTGACCGTCAAGCCCGACGGACATCTCAGTAACAAGTGATGATTGCATGGATCTGAAGGACTGTGAATTTGGCCCGGGAGATGAGCCTGGGGGTTTCCGGAAATTTGTCAAGATTGGAACAACCCCGGAAGTATTGCTAGATGCATGGAACATAAGGTACCTATAATGAATACCTAGAGTGGGAGGGAGCCTCTACAAGTCAGAAACTTACAGGAGACGAGAGTTCTCGAGACCACACCATATAGCACATTTATGTATACAGTACCTTAGCTGTAACTTACGGATTCGAACGTAATATCATCCGTGCCCGGAACATTGTACACTACACTAAGGTACCTTAAGGTATATAAACCTCTAAGCTGGGTACGCAGTAATTCCGGAGTATCAAGCAACTTCTTACCTATCCAAATAATTCTGGAAGTACCGATCACGTGTGGCGATCAGTGGAGAATTACCCCCGACGTGGGTCCGCGTTTTCTTGAAGGTGCCGTCGCTCTCAATGCTTCAACTTCCGAACACCAGAGGCTCCATTCCGCGCAGCTGTCCCCGGCCATTTTGCTTTTTTTTTGGTTTGCAAATTCACGATGGATGGTCTTGGAATCCAGGGACAATCTCATCTGACCTCGAGGACAGTAAACTCTTTCTCGTATAAACTCAGCACTGTTCTCTCAACCTCGTATGCCGACTCGGAGTTCCGGGATGCTCTCTCCCTCTTAGACGAGCGTGGTGTTAAAAGCAGTTTGAAAGAGCGACGTCAACTTCGACTGGATGCGCAGAGAGATGTCATTCGGAGTAACGGTAACATAGTGACCGAGTTTGGCCGAGTTGCTGATGTGAGTCGACTCGATCTTCCAGCTGCAACCCGCATTGACATGATCGGTATTTTCAGAAACTGCAGCGGATAAAGGCCACTCTGGACCAGTTGAATGTCTCCTACCTGGATATGCGAGAGCGCATAGGTGGTGCTCACGACCAATGTTCCTTAGTGTTAGATGACGCGTCATCGCTCATGCGACAACGTTCCGAAGTCGCTGCTAACCAGCAGCTCTTACGGACCTTTCGTGACCGCTTCCTGCTCACTGATGACGAGGTGCTCTCCCTGACCTCGACGGCCCAATCTGTGGACGATGAGTTCTTCGCCGCAATGGCCAAGACCAAGAGGATCAGAAAAGACTGCGATATCTTGCTCGGCTTCGAAAACCAGTCACTGGGCCTTGAAATCGTGGAGCAGATATCCAGGAACCTGAATCTCGCGTTCCAGAAACTCTATAAATGGGTCCAAAGAGAATTCCAAACATTGAATCTCGAAAACCCCCAGCTTAATGCTTCTATCCGTCGCGCCATCAGGGTACTGGCAGAGAGGCCTTCCCTTTTCCAGGGTTGTTTGGACTCCTTCGCCGATGCCCGGCAACTCATACTATCAGATGCGTTCTACCTGGCCTTGACAGGCACTACGGCGACTGACCAGCCCAACTCTGGTATGAAACCGATTGAGATGGCCGCCCATGACCCTCTCCGTTACGCGGGAGACATGCTAGCATGGTTACACTCTGCCGCCGTGGGGGAGCGGGAGGTTCTTGAGGTTCTTTTCTTGGAAGACGGAGACGAGATTGCCAAAGGCCTGCAATCCGGCCACGCGGACAGAATATGGCAGCTCATGCAGGACGTCGAACCCAACACTGTGGCGAGCGGATTCGACTCGTTGAAGGCCCTACACGACTTGGTCGATAGAGATTTGTCAGGGGTAGGCAGGATCCTTAGACAACGGATAGAACAGGTCGTTCAATCCAACGAGGATATCATTCTAGCTTACCAGCTCGCCAATCTTCTGGGATTTTATCGATACACCTTCACCAAACTGCTCGGCGAAGATACCGGTCTCTATCAACTGATGTCGAGCTTGGAGGCGGAAGCGTTACGGCAGTTCCGTTCTCTCGTGAGGGATCAAATTGCCACATTACAGGGGGAATTGCAGCGCACACCTTCCAATCTAGGCCCCCCAGACTATCTAAATGATGCGCTTCGGCAATTGACAACCATCATGCAGACATATGAGACATCTCTATCTGCGTCGACTGACCGAGAGGCCGACTTCCAGTCCGTTCTGACAGAAGCCTTCGATCCATTTATCGCAGGCTGTAAGAGCATGGCCAAGGCCATCGACCCTCACGATGGCGCAATTTTCAATATAAACTGCCTCGTAGCCGTCATGGCGGCCTTGCAACGTTTCGAGTTCACCCGGAACCGTGCCAAGATGCTCCAGGCTCAGGCCGACGACGATTTGGACAAGCTCGCCGATGCTCAATATCGCTTTCTCCGGGAGGCTTCTGGTCTCGACGAGATGTTCACATGCCTTGGCCCCTTATGCAAAGACCCCAAAGACCTCGAAAATCTCCACCTACTCCACCCAATGCGCCCTGAGGCTCTCGCCCGTGCGAGCCAGATTTTAGACGAGTTTCTTCCCTCAGCGCTCATGGATGCAATGGATAGAGTCAAGCTCATCCAGGACTCAAACCTGGCTCGTGAGGTGACAGAGAAGGCCGCAGAGAAGTTTTGCCGGGATTTCGAGCATGTTGAGAAGATTCTCATCGCGGCGGACGAAGTATCCGAGCTAGCGCCCAGGGAGGGACAAGACGAGGTGCCATCATTCAAGTCTTTGTTCCCCAGAACGTCTGGGGAAATCCGAGTGCTGCTGTCATAGCACCGATCTTTGGGCTTCCAGGAATAGGGTTATTGTCAAGGCATAGAGGCCCGGTGAGATTCCTAGCTCGAGCTCCCTCCAATAACAACACTGCTGCTTATTTAGAATGTACTTAGAGTTGAGACGCCTCTTAAATAGGTACACTCTCTGGCCGATTCCTCTAGCTTTAAGCGTGGGAACTCGGCGTATCTTTTCGTCCCCCTCCCCCCTTTTGTTGCCAAGTCACATTCAAGAGGTACCCCGCCTTGATGTTGAACAGCCCAACTTCCCGTTTGCGGGTCTGTGTCCTTATAATCTCTTACAAAGCGATATATTTCTGTCTAAATGTACAGTCCGTAAATGATGTGATAACGTGGCATCAGCGCCTTCGCAAGTGGGAAGAAATCAAGTAGGAGACCTCACATGATATTAGCGAGATGAATCGTCGTTATATTGTACACATCGTCCGAACCTCGGCACCCAAGAGGCAAGCGAAACGAATGAACACACCGCGGCCTCTACCCAATCCCCCAACGTCTATTTACCCACCAACCAATGTCGAGATGCAGAGAAGAAAACCTCGCCGTTACCTGCCGCCGACGCTGCTCTTGGTATTCGCACCCTCATTATGCTTACATGTGAATGGGCAGCGAGTGGGTGGCCATAGCAGCTTCCTTGAAAGCCTCAGCCAGGGTAGGATGGGCGTGACAAGTGCGGGCAATGTCTTCGGTCGACGCGCCGTATTCGAGTGCTAGGGTTGCTTCCGCAATCATTTCACCAGCATTGGGGCCGATGATGTGAACGCCCAGCAGCCGATCGGTCTCGGGATCGGCGAGCATCTTCACAAAGCCGTCCGAGTCCAGGTTCGTCTTCGCACGCGAGTTGGCGCTGAACGGGAAGTTGCCGACACGGTATGGGATGTTCTGAGACTTCAGGTCTTGCTCGCTCTGGCCAACCCAGGCGACCTCGGGATGGGTATACATCACCGAGGGGATGCAGCCGTAGTTGACGTGACCATAACCTTTCTTCATGTATTCGACGACTGCAACGGCTTCCTCCTCGGCCTTGTGAGCGAGCATGGGGCCGAATGTCACGTCACCAACACAGCGGATGTGAGGGAATTTGGTCCGATATTCCGAGTCGATGATCACACGTCCGCGCTCATCAAGCTCCATGCCGATATTCTCGAGACCCAGGCCCTGGGTATAGGGCCTGCGGCCGATGGCAACAAGGACCGTCTCAGCCTCGATCTGTAGTCTCATTCGTCAGTCGCCGTAACCAAAAGCCCCGGTGAGCGCTATAGAAGGGAAAACGTACCGTCTCGGGCTTGCCGCCCTTAGCAGCGTCAATGTCGAGCTTGATCTTGTCGCCGCTCGTGTCACCGCCAACGACCTTGGTGCTGAGCTTGAAGTTGATGCCTTGCTTCTTGAGCAGTTTCTGTGCAGCCTTCGAAACTTCACTGTCCATACCAGGACCGCCGATTTGGTCGAGGAATTCGACGACAGTAACTTTCGATCCCAACCTCGACCAGACAGAGCCCATCTCGAGGCCAATGATTCCACCGCCGATGACGACCAGGGACTCCGGGACCTTGTCCAATGAGAGGGCACCCGTGCTAGTGACAACGCGCTTTTCGTCGATCTCGAGGCCTGGGAAAGGGGTGGCCTCGCTGCCCGTCGCGATCAGGATGTTCTTGCCCTTGACAGTCCTCTCGCCGCCCTCGTTCAAATCCACCTTGATCTCGTGTTCGTTGATGAACGAACCAGTTCCCTTGATATATTCGACGCCATTCTTCTTCAGCAAGAACTCGACACCTTTTGTAAGGCCGGTCACTGCAGTGTCCTTGGCCTTCATGAATTGTTGAAGGTTGAGGCTGACGTCACCCACGTCGATACCGCGGTTCTTCGTGTCATGTTTGATCATATGGTATATGTGGGAGTTGTTGAGAAGGGCCTTGGAGGGGATGCAGCCCACGTTGAGGCACGTACCGCCAAGGGTGCCACGCTTCTCGATACAAGCAACCTGTAATGAAGCGGCGGGTTAACACTTGATAACTATGGGAGGAACCCCAAATGGATCGAGATCTGTAGATACCTTGAAGCCTTCCTGGCCAGCCTTGATAGCAGCGACATATCCAGCGACACCACCACCGATGATAATCAGATCTTTCTCCTCTGCGTCAACCAATTGAGAGAATGTCAGCAAGATATTCCCGCCTTCAGCTACAAGTATGAGGGACGACAGACCAGAGGCTGAAGCATATGTGCGGCGCCATCTCGATAGTTGGGTAGGCGCAACGACCACGGGAAGGCTATGAATGGCTGTTAGCAGCGACGATGGCTAGGAATGAGGATTCCCGGGGGCCGAAGGCGGAAGAAAGTGGCGAAGGGGAAGAAGAAAAACGTGACATATACGTACGAGGATGGGTTCCGGAACGCCGACCTCGCCGTGGAGCGTGGCAGCAAGCGATTACAGAGCATCGTGCAAATCACTATTTCTGATGTCGGTCGTCAATTGAAACGCGAAACTAGGGTATGAAGGTCGGCGTCAAATGAGTCGTCACGATGCTCAACAAAATACTTTGTCTGTGTTACCCTGAAGGAGAGTTGGCTACCTTAGCTTATCTGTAATTCCTTCGTTCGAAGTACGTACTTCGTACTTCCACTATGCTCGGCAGAACGTTCAGAACGGGACCCACTACCTTCCTTGGATTGGTCCGGGACGAGCCTGAACAAGGGACGACGTACAGACACATTTGTACAAAGCTGGTATTGTACTGGTGATGTTGTCGCACGTCAAAATAGCACTTGTATGATTAACTTAATAGAGCAGAATTCTCGTGTGTGTGTATTATATTAAGTTATATCTATATAAGTCTTTTATACCCTTGATTTAGGTGGTGAAGACTCTATTATAGGTACTATATTATTTACATCCTATCCGGTCTTTTCTAGTATCCGCCCTTATTATATCTTAATACCTAAGGTCCCCGAGATCCGAAGCCCTTACTTAGGTATAGATCCCCTAAGGACTATATTATAGTCCGTGTGCCTATACGATACACCCCCTTAGTTAAGGTGGATTTTCTTAGGTTAACTAACTAATTAAAGGCTTCGGTTTAAACTACAAGCTCTATTAAGCAGCTATAAGGTAGATTAACAGGATTCTAAGTACCCCTGGTTTAGTATATCTAAACCCCTATATTTTATATAAAAAAATCCCTACTCCTAATATATCTAGTTATATTCTCCTCCGCTCGTTATCCCGATACTATTAGTGTATTTAGGCTCCGTAAGTACACTTTAAATAATTAAACAATGGTTAGAGTGTATAAGCAAACGAGTTATATACGCAGTTCTGAATAGCTCTAAAAAGTGACCTTTTTCCTTAACAATTTCCCCCCGCACGTGGTGTGGGTCGGGACCTAGTGGTCAGAATACCTAATTCATCCCTCAACCTTCGTATCTATCTACCTCCCTATCTCCACACTTTTGCTCCTTTTCGCCATCCCCGGCTTCAAAAGGCGATAATACCCGAATCTTACTAATAATACTTGTTTATGTTCGGTGGCCTAGGTGGATTGATACGGTGCTATCTACCTCGTGAGCGAATGATGTTTGCCATAATTAGCACCCAAGAGTCTTTTCTTATAAGAGAAGAGCATCGGAAACCGAGTTAGGTACCTTAGGTAGTGTACGCCGGAGGACGAGTACAGAATGTGGATCCGGGCACAAGTGAAGCTGCTGTGCTCACATAAGAAAGCTACTTGTCTCGCTCCAAATCGACCAAGGTAGGCAATGACGGCTTTCGGAATGAGGCCGACCGCTTCAATTTCAGGTCAACTTGTCACAACCTCTAATTACTCAGTAAGTAGGTATTTGGCCTCGAATATTTTTTTCCCGGTCCGAATAGGAAACCGATTAATCCCGCTCACTCATTTCCTGCCGCTCCAGGATACACTCCGCCACCTTGCATGCCTCCCTTACCCTCCGGGCCTCTTTCTTGCCGTCTACCATGTCCGTCTTATGCACCTTCTGACGAAGAAAATATCGCAGTCCACGTGCTAGCTCGGACGAGACATGGGTCCCAAAAATCTTTCCCAAGGCGTGGTCTGTGCTTGTCTGCTTGACCTTCAAACATTCTTGGAGGATAGTAATGAGCATGACTTCAACTACCAGGGAAGTTGTCTCTTTGACGTAGGCGAAGTTCAGCGGTTTCAATACATCCAAGGAAATCGAACAATCGACGACGAGGTGACCGACCATCTTAGCCGTATTGATGAGCCGACGGTTGTCCATCGTCTCCTCCTCTTCATCCTCTGGTTCTTCGCCGAAAAGTGGCTCGCCCAGTCTCCGGAATAGCGTCCATAACACATCCTGGAAAGCATACTTGATCCTGGGATCTCCGCAGAACTTGCTAGCAACAAGGGTGTAGTAAGGATTGTAGTACTGTTGAGCGCCGGCGCACTGCACAAGGACCTTGGGTATCTCTCGGCGGTTGTACTTGTTGAGCCGAAGCTTCAATATCCTCAAATGCGCGTCGTTGACGTCGGCAGCGGCCACCAGGGAGATAAATATGGCTCTCCGAACATCTGTGTTCATACCCTGTTCCCGCGCAAGCTCGGCATAGTCGATAAGAGTGAGGTCGTCCCCGGTGGCCAGGTCGTCCAAGTCAGTACCGAGATTGAGATCTGAACCAATGTCCGTCTCCCCAGCGGCAGGTCCGGATTCATTGGATCTTTGCTGTTCACTGTTCCTGGGTCCCGCCCAACTCGCACCAACAAGCCACCACCTGCCCGACTTGTCCGCATTCTGAATGTCCCCCAAGCCTACACGGAGGGGTTCGGTGGCCTTCGTCTTGGTCGTGTCCATAGTCCCCAGCAACTTCCTCATCCGCGTGACATGTTGACTCAGGGTCGCCAAATCCTGAGAACCCGCTTTTACTTTGTTGTTCTTCAAGTCGGTAATGGTCTCGATCATGAACTTGGTTCGTACGGACAGATTCCCTTCGCCGATCTTGGTAACTGCAGGCCGAATGAGGCTGACAATATCCTTCAGCGCCAAAGGGTCATCCTTGCGAAGCTGAGGACCAGCCATTCGGACGATTCTGAGTAGGAGTTCGGCATTGAGCTCCGATAGATTACTCAAAAGGAGGCGTACATAATCAAATATGAGTTTGCTCCCGACAATACGGAACATATACATCTCGGATAAGACGGTAGCCAAGTTCGACGTCTCCTTTGTAGGTGTCTGCTGTTGCTCTACCGCCCTTTGGGCGGCAGCATGCTCTTGCTGGAATCGGTCCACTACGGCGTTGAGGAAGTGAGCCGCAAAGTCCACGCCGATGACTTTATGCAGCGCAGCTACAAAACCAGCAGAAAGAACCAATAGCGTATCGGGTTTGCTCGTGGGCTCGCAGATCTGTGCCATCAAGAGATCGGTGAGGACATTGGTGACGAGGCCACGAGGATGGTCTCGGTAGATCTGGTTGATCTCTTCCACGATGGAGATTAGGTTTGCCTCTGTGACACGATTGACCGGGCCCTGCGTCTTTCTGCGGATCCGAGCTTCCAAGTCCGTGTCGTTTCCGGAGCGTTTCCGGAGAGAAGGCGGTATGTACTTTGACGTATCCGTGATCGGGGCCACATAGGGGTTCTCGCGACGTCTTGTCATTGTAGGTTGGTGTTCTTCGGCGTCCGACCCAGAAACTGCGAAAGGATCCTCGTCTTGGGACGATTCATCCTCACTTCCAGATGCTTCGTCCGAAGCCTCCTCCCTGCCTTTGTCGTCGTGCCCCTCATTCCCGTCCTCCAACGCGCTAAGCGAATCGTCGTCCTCGGCTTCTTCCAAGTCGCTGGCGTCTGTATTCTCGACAGCGTCGTCTCGCGGACGTTCTCGGGATCGCGCCGCTTTTAGACGTTTTCTCGCTAGCCACTCATCTGCCTCCGTCTTGCCCTTGTGAGGCACCTCGCTATCATCATCGCTACTGTCGTCAAGCAAGTCAAGTAAACCATCGTCCTTGAAGGCCTTGGGAAGAGTCTTGCGGTCTTTCCTGATACCCAGTTTACGCTCTAGCGCCTCGATCTCGGCATCATCTTGGGCAGTATTATTGCGCGCAGCTTTCGGCGTCTGTCGAGTTGGCGGCACCTGACTGCTCTTGCCATCTGAGTCGGTCCTCTTCCGCTTCCGTGTCGTAGACGTTGACAATACAGGGGGCGGGGGCGAGGGCGGGTCCTCTTCCACCACGGATGTAGATGTATCACAGTCGTGATCCTCTGGCGCTTGGGAGTGACGTGCCGAGTTTCGGCGGTTCTGTACACTGCCCTGGGAAGGTTGCTGGCGGCGTTTCGACGATCTTTCAGCTTTGCGCCGGGCTTTCCGATGTTGCCCCTGGCTTTCCCATCGCCCCTTGTTCACCGACGCAGGAAGTGTGTCTAAAAACCCTAATTCCTTGAGAAGATTTGAAGGCAGGCTCAATTTCTTTGGAGGCATGGTACCGAGTTGGAGAGATATACACTCGGTTGAGTGCACTTCGTAGCTCGGAGTCGACCCTACTGTGTCTGCTCCCTTTAACTGCTCTCAACCTCTTGCGAAGAAGGTCAACCAATGGCGAGCGAGGGCATCTCAAGCTCAAGCTAAGAACGATGGGCTGTGAATGTGAATATAACCTAAGATGCAAGTAAAGAACGTCACGACCGTTGTTCTGATTGACTTATGTTGCAAGGCAAATTTATTTTATTTGGATTACCTATCCACTAATTAATGGCCCCAGAAGGTACAAAATGGGCAGAACGTGGTCCTCAACACGACCCACAATACAGAAAGTACCTCTACCTACCATTCCAGTACCTTACCTTACCTAGGGATCTTGGTCCGTCCCTTTCGAACTCGTTTTTAATTTTTCTTTTCCTTCCTCTTCTTTCTCGCAACGTCCAGCTATTGCCGCCTTTCTCTCATTGGAAAAACATCCGCCTCCACACAACCGGCCTAAGAGACGCGTGTTTCGGTTCCTAGTCGTGCAACTTGTTCTGTTACGACTGGCCTTACTGCCTGTCTTCGTGTCGCGCGTTGAGTCGCATTTTGCCTGCGTCTTAACCCCCCCGATCTCACCGCAGCGGCATCGTTCTACAAAAGTATTATACAGTTTACGGTTTACGGCTAAGCATCGAAGTCGACAGATTCCACAGACGGACACAACTGACTGGTTGCTCGTTTCCCTTCTTTGCATCCACTGCAGTCTGCTTTCCCATCGCCGCACTAAGAATTGCACGACACGGAGAGGTGTACCGAGGGACCAAGCAATACCACACGCACTCGGACGTTTGAAGCTTATTACACCCGACCAACCAGACCTCCCCGACCGTTTTCGAGGGGTGAATAAAAAGAAAACAACAAGGGAATTCCTATTACAGCCTCGAATCTCGGCGGCTAACGAAGGCGAAACCAAACTACTCAATCATCTCACATATTGCAACGCACAATGGGTACGTCTAGTCGTAGCATTCGTTGCTCAATACCACCGCACCGCCTCTGGCAGGCTCTTCTTGCTTTGCAAATCCTATGTTATCTTTACCCCCTCCCCTCCCTTGCAAGAGTCGACACGAAGTTTGTTTCCATTCTCCAACCTCACCAGGACAAGTACATGCTATTCCAGACATACAACGGGGTGAAAAGGCTTCCTTCCAAGGACGTTGCTCCAACCACCTGCCCCTGTCCCCCTTTTTCCTGCACCATTCGCACAGAAGGTACATGTTTGCCTATCTACTTCACTTACCTCCACTGCCATATACCTTAAGACTCTGGGGTCAATGCTTTGCAGCAGACCTTCAGCATCTCGGTTGGACATGGAACACACCTCCCTCGCGCATGTGCATGCATGCCGTACTTGATGACACATTTTCGTCACTTCCACAGTTCCTTGCCCACCTTACCCCTCACTTCCCTTTACTCTCGTGCTTTTGTGCAGGGGAGGTTGAGGTACCTCTGGTCACCTGGTTCACGGCCTTGCGAAGGGGCTTTTCGGGGGTTCTGGGGGCTGGATACCATCCACTGCACGTACAGCATTAGCAGAACTTTATCTTATAGCCCAGCCGCCCTACTGCATGTTGAAGACCAACCCCTCTCCCCCTTCCTTCTCAGCACTACGCTCCGCGTATTCCCCCCCTCCCTTCTGCATACCCTTCCGTCCTACTCCACCAGGTGGTGTAGCCCGGCCCTGTTTCCTCCATCCCCCGGTCCCTTCTGCATCCTCCCTTCCCAAACCCAAGGCGTGCCTATTTACTACTACGACTACTACTACTACCCGGGTACCTCTATATCCTTCGAGGTCTGCCGATTTCCCCAAATATCGCCACCCAGCGCCTTCTTCACCTCACCAACTGCAACCTACTTCTTCTTTCTTGCACTATTCTCTCTCCCTCTACTCTCCATATCCCCCCCCTCCCCCTTTTTCCCAGGAAATTATCTTCGGCTTGCTCGCATGCAGATTTGATAGCTATCTTGCGGGGTCTTCATTCTAACAACTCTTTTTAACAGCAGACAACGATTCATATCGACCAGTGAGTTGTCATTTTCATTTCCCTCGCTTATTGGTTCTCCAAACAACGACCTGTCCATTCGGCATCTCTTGTCCACTTTGCATCGAGGGGCGTTTCGCCAGTCTTCCGTCATTTTACCTCAGCTCTCCTGCAACAGTAGACGCGGTTCTGTTGGAAGTTCTCGTTTTTTGGCGCGGGGGTAATCGGGAGTGGCAGGCTCCGAGAAGAACCTCTGGCAAAGATGGCTTGAATTCTCAAAGTAGCCTGCTACGAACCGCCGCTGATGCCAGAATAAATCTTGTATTATACTGCTGCACACTTCGCGCACGCTACTCGGCTTGTGTCCTGCAATCGCTTCTTTTCAATGCTTTGTAGCCCTATCATTGGTCGTTGCGAAGCAGATCGTTCAGCATAGGTGTTTTTGCACAGACTAACCTGATGATGCAGAGAGAGAGGTCTCGATCACCTCGCAGAGGTCGTTCGCGAAGCCCTGATCGCTCTGGAAGACGTCGTTCCTTTTCGCCTCGCAGCAGGTCGCGCAGCAGAGACGACACACGTGGACGCCGCGATCGATCGCCTATGACCGGAACCCCTGCACCTGTAGGAGGGGCTAGCGCTGGATACGGAGGGCCCCAGCAGCATCGATCTTACGAGGAACGAGCTGTCGCACGAGAACAAATGATGAGCAACATTCGGGACAGTTCCCAGCAGGACCGCCGGGTCTACGTTGGAAACCTTTCCTATGATGTTAAATGGCATCATCTCAAGGATTTTATGAGACAGGGTGGGTCGTGGCTCGCTTGTTCGGGCTATCCTTTATCAGGCTGACGGTCCTGAATCTTGTAGCTGGAGAGGTGCTCTTCGCCGATGTGCTGCAACTTCCTAATGGAATGTCGAAGGTGGGCTTCTACGCGTAGTTTTATGGCTGGTCTTGTTTTCGTGGCCTCTTTTTTTTCCCTCCGGTCTTGCTGGAATTGTTGGGTTGACGGGTTGGGCGCGTGTCCACGGGTACTTGTAGGGATGCGGGTAAGTTCTGCATGCTGCCATGCGTCGCCTCCTTCGCCTCTATAGACTGGGACTAACAACGCACGTTCAGAATTGTGGAATATGCGACCAGGGAGCAAGCCCAGAATGCCGTGGCAACGCTCAGCAACCAAAACCTCATGGGTCGACTCATTTACGTCCGCGAAGTACGTTGGAGACACTTCACCAGACGGCTTTACCAAATTCTCATGGCTAACACGCTTCCAGGATCGCGAGGCAGAGCCCCGGTTCATCGGCTCAACGCCCAATCGCGCTGGGTTCCAGGCTCCAGGTGCTATGGGCCCTGGAGCATTTCCTGCTCCTGGCGGATACAATGCGGGAGGTAGCAGACAGATTTTTGTCGCTAATGTGTGTTTCATCCTCCTCCCCTTGGTCCATTTATGCGCCATCTCATCGTACCAACGTGTTGTTTTAGCTTCCTTATACCGTTGGCTGGCAAGACCTGAAGGACCTCTTTAGACAAGCAGGTACGTACTGCAGTTGCTTCCCATGCATGGAAAATCCTGGTACCGGCTCATAAGCTCATAACATTCTACTACAGCCCGTAACGGTGCAGTCATTCGAGCCGATGTTCATATTGGACCGGACGGTCGACCCAAAGGAACCGGAGTTGTCATGTTTGAAAGCCCGGACGATGCGCGGAACGCCATTCAGCAGTTCAACGGTTACGATTGGCAGGGTCGTCTCTTGGAGGTCCGTGAAGATAGGTACGCTGGCATGGGGGCTCCCATGGGCGGCTTTGGTGGTCGCGGGGGCTTCGGCGGCGGGATGCGAGGCGGTTTCGGAGCCGGCTTTGGACGAGGCGGTTTCGGGGCTGCACGGGGCGGCTTCGGCGGCGGGGGTTTCGCTGGACGCGGTGGCTTTTCTGGAGGATTCGAGGCTAGCGCTGGCGCTTCCGTGCCGCCCAATCCTTTTACGGACTTCGCCACTGCGGGCACCGAGAGAAACGAGACGATCTATGTTCGAAATGTGAGTAGACTCTTGTTCAAGAGATGTCCCCTTCTGCTCCTGTGTTCCAGCTAACCCTTGTCAAAGCTCCCCTGGTCTACCAGCAACGAGGACCTTGTGGAACTCTTTACCACTATCGGTAAGGTTGAGCAGGCTGAGATCCAGTACGAGCCCAGCGGTCGATCCCGCGGGACCGGTGTTGTCCGATTTGACTCGGCCGATACTGCGGATACGGCTATTCAGAAATTCCAGGGTTATCAGTATGGCGGTCGTCCGCTTGGGTTGAGCTTTGTTAGATATCTGAACGCCCCAGGAACCGGAGGCGACAGCATGGAGACGGATGCTCATGCTGGCTTGACGCAAGACCAGATCATGTAATATGTTTCGTTGCGGTCGGCTTCACGCGTCATCTAAAGACTCTGAGACACTTCGCGCACCGCAGACAATCGCCTTGCTGGCATTCACGATTCGGGGTTCGGGCGCATGGCTACCATTTCCTCTCGCTGGTATTGATAATTTTCTCTATGTTGTCTGGCTGGGCGCACTACCATTGCGGAATACGTCGTCGATTGACGTGATGGTCAGACAGTTTATTTCATCTCTTACCAAATCATTTCTCTTGGTCAATTGTCCTGTAAAATAGGGCCTTTTGGTGGCTTTTGAGGGTTTCTGAAAATACTGATATCGTTGAATAAGGTAGTGTAGTTGTACGGATAAAGGAACTCCCCAGGGCGAGGCTACGGGCGTGACTGACTAGGCTGAAGAGCGTGCTTGTCGGGCCTTACGCCGCAGCGAGACAAAAAATGTTGGACCGTATTGACAGGACCGAAACATATCGCTATCAGAATACTATGTTCTCTCTTATAATATGTGGCTGGTTAGAACTAGGGAAGTTACGATGTCGTTATATTCCCGGCGCTCCAGTCTGAGCTAGTGGAGGTGTTTCGAGTGAAACTACAGCATAGATGCCGATGTTGATTTTTGGCTTGCATTGCAATCGTGACTACCAAGTATAATAGACTGGGTGGCTGGTGAATGCTGATGACACGGGGCTATATGACACATTGCTTGTGCACATGATCCGATATACCGAGCGTTGAACTTCCAGGGGAACGGGCTTGGCACACCAATACCGGGAATGGAGCAAGTAGAAGAGGTTTGTGTAGGCGAGGCTGCGAATTGCATCTGTCAATCTACCCCCTTAGCAGGTCACACAAAGGAGCATATCATGTTTGCTTGGATAAGCTGATTGCTTTCTAGCTCGCTGGCAAACTGTCCACGCGCCAAGATGCTCTGACCGTGTGCTGGCAATTCCCATAACACATCCATCGTGGCTGCTACCTATTGACCAGAGAAACTGTTGGCGCGGATTTGACCGTCTTTGACACAATGGTGATGTCGATCCCTTGCCTACTGTTTGTATCCTTTGTGATTCTGGGCCGGGATGGCATAGTCACTTGTCGTATGAACCAAGGCAAGCGACAGGCTTGCACAGGGCAATGACTCCTATTCCCCTACATAGTCACCAGTTGGCGAACTCCATACAAATTCACAGAGTTGCGGAGATACCTTCTCCTGTAGAAAACCCCCCATGGCCTATTGCTTACTACTCCGCCCATAGGAGCCAATCCACATAGATAGGCGAAGGCCAGCGACACGACAGTACCTCCAGCTTCCCGAATTAGGACTAGAACCAGCGAACAGCATCGTGGCTTCAGGCCCTGGTTAGAAAACCCATCACCGGTACTGAACAACCCTTTGGGTTTCGGCCTCAAGACCAGAAGCCCCGGGCCATGTGCGAACTTCACCCCTACAGGTGCCCGGTTTGTGCGACCCACTGGCAAGGGCATCAGAAGCTGGCCAGTTGCGAGCAGAGCGACCCTGAGACGCGATGTCCCGAAAGACTTTGCATGTATGTCGGCAATCCAAAGAGACCCAGGAGGAAAGAATGCGAGAGCTGTGCCCAAGTGAGGGAGTTGCTGGAAGAATACGAGATCGACAAGGGCAACAAGGGCACATGAGCTTCGGAGAGAGTAAGGGATGGGAGGTCCGAGAGAAAGGGGGGGGTGGAATCCGCCGCTTTGTGGGTCGAGGGCACCAAGAGCGACCCCGACGTAAAGCGGGTGGGGAGATAGCGCAAGGTTGGGGATGGCCCCAGGATAGTAAGCATAAGGCAGTCAAAGGCTTTACGACAGACACCACAAGGATCTCCTAGTAGGTAGACAAGTATTAGAACCTAACGGGGCCAGAAGAAGACTATGGGCTTGCCTGAGAATTGGAAGATGTGATTTTGGGCCAACCTCTATAAGTGGAATCTCCGTGATGAAAGGCGAGTTCTGATACGCAAACAGCGGGCTTTCCCCCCACTACGATAGAACGCCGTAGTCCACGTCGCTTCTTCAAGACAGTATAGAGAGAGAGAGAGAGAGAGAGCCTCATGACGCTGCTGGAGCGCCTGACTTTTTCTTCTTTGCTTTCGCCTTCTTCTTGCTCTTGTCGCGAGGCTTTAGCGCCACCATACCAGCTTTGCAAATGTCGGCGTAACGGGCAAAGAACTCGTCCAGGGCGTCCGCCTTCACAATGGTCGAGAGCTTGACCTTGGGAGATTTACTCCTGCTGGAATTTCCATTCGTCGCTCGCACGATCACGGGGAGAGGTTCCCCGAGCTGGCCGTCGGGTAGCAAGCCATCGCCCGACGGGGATGTCGCGGGGTCTAGTGGGTAGGAAACTGCACATCTTCAGCTCCGGCATGAGAACAGCAAAATGGCCAAGTCGGATTTTTGTATAATGGATAACATACGCCTTTTCTGGACGAGATAAACGGCGCCATGGCCCTTGTCTTTGCGACTCTTGAACAGCTCTACCAGGCCGTTGAAAAACTGGACCAGGAAGTTATATTGTAGTCAGTTAATCATATTCGGGTGGACAATTCCGGAGGTATACAAAGCCCACCTCATCGTGGCTTAAGTGTGACACCATTTCGCTTGAGCTGCGGGGTTTTGGAAGTCAAGTATCGAGCACCGCCGGCAAAATGCTGTGCTAGAATCTAGTTGCGGCGTGTTTGAAGCCGTGAGAAAGAAGTCGTATGCCAGGTCTTGGCGCTGAAGGTTGGTGTTAGATGCCTATTGTCAGAGAGACTATATATAAACTAATATTAGACTCGGAGGCTGAGCTAAGGGTAGGTGTGGGGCGTGGCTAGTAAAAAGTTAAGCTAAGGATAGGTGTGGGGCGAATTCTAATTAGCTCAGAGGTATAAGGGAAACGTTTCTCCAAGCTTTATAAATTATATTCTAACACGTTAACGTGCTTTCCCCCTCTTTTACCTAGAATACACGTCTTTATTATCTTTTCTTACTATCACCACTCTATATCTTTATAAAGTATATTTTTATAGTATCACTATATCAATCTATTAATAGTTTTTTTATTAATTCTATCACTCTTTACACTTTATCTATTATAATCAGGTATATTTTCTTATTGGAACTAAGCTTCTTATATTTTATATTATAAAAATCATTAGAAACGATTAGGAAATAATTAGGAAACGATTAGGAAACAATTTAAATCCAGAAACTAACTACCCTATTACCCTTTATAGACAGCCCCTATTACTTTTAGTAATATACCCTTAAATTACCGACTAACGAATATATACTAATAGTATATAGATAGTAAAGATAGTAGTAAACGATATAAAAATCTTCCTAAGTTTAAAATAGATAGCGTAAGTATATAGGCTATTCTAATACCCTATTCTTTACTAACGCCCCCCTAAAACAGGTAAGGTTATTCTAGCGGTAGGAAAGGTCTTTTACCGGTACTTAAAGGAGACTAAGGAGCTATATTTTAATATAAGTCGCTTTCTATTTAGGAAATAGCTTAAAGACTTTAACTAATTATAATAATATAGCGCTCTAAGTTTCCTCTATTAGCGTCCTTAAAAAATATATTTACTTTACCTATTATACCTAAGCCGCTCCCTCCGCGTCGGGCTCTCTTAAGGCTCGTGACGATGCCTATACCGCCTAGTATTATAAGGCGATACAGAGACTCTCCCTCGGTATTAATAAATATCTTAATACCCCTTATAAGGCTAAAGTAGTAGCTAAGGATATATATCTTAGGGTTATCCTAAAAGATACTAATAGAAATATAAGAAACGATTCGGAAACGATTTAAAACCTATTACTAATATATATAATACCTTAGCCCGATATCCTTTATATAAAAATAGATATTTTTAGTTAGTATAAGAACGAATATTATAAGGCTTATATAAACTAGAACTCTATCGGCCGTAGTATATTACCCTTCCTTTCTATAATAGTATACTTAACTAATAGTATATATTTTTTAGGCTACCCCCCCCCCCCTTACTATAATTACTTTTATAAGGTATAGCCTAAGTATCGCTATAAAGATACAGCGGATAAGGAAATAGTATCTAGTAAGTTAGTAACGCCTACCTAAATTTAACCTTCTAAACTAATAATTCCTATCTTAGAATTTCCCGCCCCTACCCGCCCCCCTCCTTATAACTACTAGGTTAATAAAGCCTGTTTTTCTACTCCTACTAATAAAGAGTAATTATATTTTTAGGAAACGTTTGGGAAACGTTTCCTCGCTACTAGGCTTTTATATTTACAGTATTAGTAATAATAACTTAGTATATATAAAGGCGTTTTTAGCCTATTTTTTTATTTTTATAAATTTCTTATAATAATAAAAAGCACGATTACGATAACTAAAGTATTCCCTACTATCTAACTCTAGCGATCCGAACGAAATAATAGCTCCCTCTCTAGCTTAATACGCCTAAGTTCTAGCTAATAACGCCGCTTATCTTTAAGCCTTCGCCTCTTAATTTCCGCCTTTAATTTATATTTTTATTCTATTTCGCGACGGCGTTCCTCTAAACTAATATTCCTCTCCTTAAAGGATAAAGAAACTTATAAAGCTTAAACCTGCCTTAGGGTAGCCTGCTAGTAAAGATTACGTGGATTTAGGCGCTAACTTCTTAAGCGCCTCGGAGGAACTCTACTTAACGATATACTCCTTATACTTCTTATTAAGGAACTTTAAGAATCTAATTCTATACTATCACGGTTAAGGCCCTTAATATCCTTAGGAGGATTAAGAGGTAACCTTAAGATTAATCGGCTAGTAGTTAAAGGCCGGCTTCGCGACCGGTCACGAAAAGCCTTATTATAATCGGTATTTACCTAAAGATATTTTCTCTCTTTAATAGTCTTAGATTAGGACTTTATTCCTTATACGATATAAAAGAAAAGAACTTACTATTCCGATTTATTTAACTCTTAAGCCGGCTACTAATACTAGTATTTCGCTATAAGCCTAGAACGTATCGCGAATAGGTCGTAAAATCTCTTAAGATAAGATTTTAGTTATAATCACGATATCTACTAAGGTTAGCGAGTAGTTTAAGGAGAGATTATAATAAACTTACCCCTTTATAACCTTAAGAAGATAGATATTTCGCCTAGTCTACGTATATAAGGCTTAATATATAACCTCGACCGTATTCGAATTATCGGAGATAAGTCCTTAGTCCTAATACGGGATATTTAAGGCAGCTTAATAAAACCCTATAGCGATATATAGAAGGCGCTTATAAGTAGCCTAGTTATGGAACTAAGGTAGTAACCCTAGTATATAGGTAAGTATTCTAAATAGTTTCCGAATTATTTCTAAATCGTTTTTAGGTAATTCGTAGACAGAACTTACGGCTAATCGCGTTATATAACTTATTATAATCCTCCTATATTTAGTATTTTAGTAGAGTTATTAAAATCCGATAAGTAGAGCCTTAGCCTCTTAATAGGCTACCGCCTAGAATACTCTTAACACCACGCCTAAAATAAACTATATAGAGATATAAATATTAGAAGACTTAGGTTTCCTAGGATTCGTTTAGCCGGTATTTTTATTAGAGGTATCTACTAAGCCCTTAGATAACTAGTAAGGCTTAGTCTAAGGTTACCCTAAGAAGTCTAGTTCTATAAAGGTATTTCCACTTCACGTATATATTATACTTATCCTCTAGAATATAGAAAACCTAGCGGAATATATAAAGATATATCTCTACTATCTCAGAGTTTATATAGCACCTTACTAAAGGAAGAACTTAAAGTTATTAGAAATAATTCGGAAATAATTCGGAGACGAATTGGGGATAAACCTCTTTCTAAGTTTTAACTATACTAAGCCTAAATAGTTTCCTTTTACTTTATACTATGAATATATTTATAGTTAGTATCGATATAAAAAGACCTTATATCTAAAAAGGTCTATTATTTTACCTACTTATAAAAAAAATAGATTACTATATAATTCCGCTCGGATTAGTATAAATACTAGATATACTAGAGTATAGTAGAAAGATTAGAATATATATACCTTAAGATATTAGCGAATTCTTATATATAACTATTAGTTAGCCTCTTTTATCTGCTTTAAAGATAAAGTAAGACTCCGACCGCCTTAAGGGAAAAGGATAATCTATTATTTACGGATAATATATCGAAGGTAGTCTATATTTGTAAGACTTATATAAATATCTATAATCGTTTTTTCTCTAAACTTAGTAATAAAGTCTTTTAGTTTACTCGACTTAAGGAATACGTTTAATTTTATTATCGGATTCTTAATTTTCGTAAGGACTTAAGTAATACTATTAATAATTAAAGGGGGGGCTTTTAAAGGAGATAGTAAAGGGTGGGTATATACTCTATAGGAGGTTATAATAATTTATAGTAGTATATTAAAATCGTATAGAATATAAAATCTAAACTCGATATCGTATTTTCGTATTTAGATTTCTCTAGGGCCCGCGATATAACCTTTATCTATTTTAAAATATTAGTATTAGTCTTTAAAGTCGTTTCTAAATCGTTTCCGAAACGCTTCTGAATATTTCTGAATATTTCTGAATATTTTTATATTGTTTCCGAATAGTTTCCGAATCGTTTCTAGATTCACGTACTATAAGTCCGTCTTTTTCTACGATTCGTCGCGAAAAAGTAGTATATCTTATCGGGATTCGTAAGAATTCTATATACCGTGGGATTAAGAGTCTATCGAATAAGATCTAGATAAGGGTAAAATATCGATAGAATAATAGTAATTAGATAGCGACGTGTTATATCCGCTAATATCTAAGACTAGTATCGTACACGATATTATTAGAAGTCCGTAAAATACTTTAATTAGTAAAAAATACCCTTAAGTACTATTAGATCTTAAGGCTAATACTTATATAGTAGCCGCTAGAGTCTATTACTAGTATATATATTTCCTCCGGCTCTATATATATAGACTTTCTACTAAATCTCGCTTATACTACTTAAGATTATCTATAACTCCGTTAATTCTGCCATTAAAGGTATTCCAATATATAACTTACCTAATAGTCTTTTTCTATAAAGTAAGGTCTTTTATATATTCTCTTCGTTAACTAATTTAATCTAGTAATTAAGGAGTAATATAATCGTGATAGAAGTCCGTAGTAGGAAGATATTAATAGGCTTTCCCCCCTTAATAAATATATATATATTACTAAACGGGGGCGTCTCTAAGTATAGCAATTATAATCTAAGAGGTAGGATATTTCCGAGTTATCTTATTCTAAATCTAGATTAAAATATATTAATACTTATTATAAATAAAGCGAAGAGAGGTATTACTTACTACTTTCTATAAAGTACTGTTCTCCTTATTATTTAAGACGTTTACTAGAATAATAATCGCTATACCCCTAATATAGCTTTTAGGTATCTTAGGAATCCTAGCTATATATAGGACTTTTTATACTTATATAGCTTAACTACCCGGGGCTAGTCTTCTATTAGTATACACGGTAGCAGAAATAAGAATTAGATCGCTTTATATATCTAATAGGACCTAATCTATATAAGTAAATAATACTATAAGGTTTAGTTCTGTATATATATACCTACTATACTCGATTTCTCTGGATTATATCTCGGGGAGGTTAGCGATTAGGATAGAGTCTATAAAGATATAGTCGTAGATTTGTATTTTTAAAGAATCTTAGATTATAAAAGTCGTTTTCTTAACTTTCCGGCTCTAGTAG